ACAAAGGAACATCAAATGTAGAGAAAATTCTAGAAATTTAGGGCCCAAATTCACGCAAGGCCTGTTTTCTCTAGGTAGTATTGCATCTGGCAAATCAGCATCAGCTGGTCAAAAATACCTAAGCTTATTTTCATAAACAGTGAAATGTTCTAGAGAATAGGTCTATTCCAATTTCTGTGGTTCCGTGGCCTTTCATTGGGGAAATAGTCTTCATCGTTAAATTCTCACATTGGAAAAAAAGTTGGAAAAGGCTCAGAAGTCTCAAGAGGAATGGCTTTTCCCCATGTGGGGGAAATGCTCTTGGGTAAATTGATTTCTAATTTAACTAGGAATGTTTCTGAATGTAATTCCACAACTGAAGCATACATGCTGTGACTCAAGCTTCCTCCAGCTTCTCTCAGTCTCAAGCAGAAGAACAGGGTTTTGGAACAAAAGCAGCAAGATTTCCCTAACCCTTCTCCCTCTGTGAGGAAAAACGGTTTTCCTTTTCCTTTTAAAATCAGGCAGAAATTACTGAATGGGAGGCTGGAAAAAGTAGGATTTAATATCTCCCCTCAACCTCAGTTTAAGCTGGAATTTGCAGGAAGCAGGATTTTCCAGGTAACAAAATTGGTACAAGGTAACTCTGATCCAAAGGTGGTCTGTTCTCTAGAGAAGGAGAGAAAATTAGCTAAGAACAATGCTAAGTTTAATTTCTGTGTCTGCTAGTTAATGCTTTATTGTTTCTGGTATTTATGGTCTTCATACATGCTCACTAAATGGTTGACTTCTTTCTGGAACTTAGCACTATTTTACGTCAGAGTTGAGTTTATATTAGAAGTAGGTCTATCTTCTTGGGATCCAGCAGCAGCGATGGTGGTAAAAAAAAAAAAAAAAGTCAAGTTGGCGGTTGTAACAGCATGATCAAAGTCCTGTCCCTTTTGTACATGTGCATATAAAGGGACTGGGTGTTGATCACACTGCTACAACCATCATGTTGACTTTTTTTACCTCCCCTGACAACATTGTTGTAATCTGCTCTGAGCCTTATCTTGTCCTTTGTACAATTCTTTTAAGCTAATGTTGTGATTTGAATAGCCGTATATTCTGTCTTTTACCATCAAATATTTTTCTTGCAACTACTGTACTTAAATTAAAAAAAAAAACTGAAAAGGTATTTTTCCATTTTCTCTTTTCCTTTTTTTTTTTAAAATAAAATCTATTTTATTTATACTTTGTGAGACTGATCAGGCCCCAAAGAGGGGCCTGATTTCCTTAGTCACATGCTTCAGCACTACAGGCCCAGGAGGTGGTGCTGTAGAATTTATTTCATTTTCACCATCTTTTTTCTTTATTTACCTTTAAGGTTGTGGGACTCCTATCTCTCTCATGTTAGGGGGAAGACACCAGGTAAAGGCATTTCCTTGGAAGATTGGTGATGTTAGCAGTCACCAATTGATGTTAGACCAAGCAACTACACAAGGCAGGAAGGTAAGGCTGGGGCAATCCTCAGAGGACTTCTGGGTGGTTTCAGATTTCCAAGTTTTCATGCCACAGACTCATTCCTGCTGTTACAGATGTGTACATGTGCTCTTACACATTTGTAAAACAGCAAACCAGAAGAATCTTCTTGTAATCATATGTACAATTACATCAAAAAGGTCTTTGCAGTGTTTATTGTAATGCATATGCTTGTCAGTAATGTGATGGAATTAAAAGGATACATATGAGCTGAAGGAATTGAGCTATTATATTTGGGCTGCAGAGCCTGAGATCAATATAGATGGCAGCAAAGAGAGACATATTAGTTCTTTGCTGACACCTCATGGTCCATTGGCTTTTTGAAGCCTAGATATGGTGGCTTAGCTGTAATAAGCCTGTTGCTATCTTCCAGTGATCGGGCAAATCGACATAAAATAAATGGGATGAAAACTAACAGTAGACTAAAAATGTTGAATAGAATCCAGACTTAATTATAAACATAGGATTTACTCTGAAATCAGTTAATTCGGTTATGACTAACTTAAATCCTGTTGATTTTAGTAGTCTCAGCAAGACTAAAGGTGTATTGGGCCAACTGATCTTTAATTTACTCCACAGTTAAATGTTTTCAATTTGTATATATTAACCTATATATATGTAGGTGGTGCTGTTCCATTTGCATAGAGGGATGTCTGCTCATACATTTTCTGGCTACAGATTTGGTCTAATTTAACCTTTTCCTTTAGCTTCTGTAATATGGTAAACAGAATGGGACTGAAATATTATAGTAATATTTGGGCCCCTGTTAATTAGCTGGGATAATCACTTTTAAGCTGTGTTCCAACTATCAGTTTCCTGGGATCCTTACTAAAGTCTTTAATTATAAAATCAGCAATGATGAAAAAATTTCCACTGAATGTATATTGCATGCTGTTTTCTGGATTTTCTGAACTTTTGCCTATTTTTGCCAATGAATGTTGTTAGAAGTTTGTTCCTGCTAATACATCCTAAGAGTCTGAATAAACAAATGCACCAATGTTTGTTGCTTGTTTCATTTATTTCCTAAAATCATCCAACATGATAACAGCAAATATATTAGCTCTGCTTAATTAATTCTGTTTAAATTAAGTTTTTGTCCAGGTCTTGCCTGCTTTTTGGAGTATGGCCTCCAGCACACATCCCAAAGTCCAAGTAAATCTCTTAGCAAGAGCTACCATACATGGACTGTACAGGCGGCGCATTAGCAGTTGTTCAGATTTTTTGAAGACCAGTTATGGTAGCCCAGTCTTAGCTCCTGCTCCCACAAAAAAAGGTTTCTCATCTATGGAAAGGTAGCATAATATTATTAAGCCTAGTTTGGCCCTTTGTTCCAAATTAATATGAAAAAGATGGGCTAGAACAAAGAGCCTTGAGGCCTGGCCACATAAGGGGTAGAAGGTATGAAAGTAGAAAAATAAGTTAAACTTTTTTTTTAAAAAAATAAGAATTTAAGTGGAGAAACAGATGTTCACATAGACTGGATCTCAAGAAGACTGGGGGTTCACGATCTGGTTCCTTAAACTTTTCTTGCAGTTCAGAACATAAGGCCCTGCTTTACATCTTTTGGGGGAAGGCTTTTTTTTTTTATGCTAGAGAATACATTTGAATGAGGAACCAAACACCTGAAGTGTACATCACCATTGTCACATGTTAATTATAAAATAATCTAAAATTATATTGGGCATTATGGATAAATAAGGTGAACAGGCCCCTGTCTATGTTTTTGCAATCAAAGAAACACAAGAGGGAAAAAAGGGAACTCAAGGCCAACTTTGCAATAAGCTAAATGGGAAGCCAAAGAGAGGGTTAAGCCTGTACTTGGACTATAGTTTGCAATTATAAAGCTAGCGACAGGAAGAGAGATGATCAAAGGAACCGAGTAGAACATCCGGAAAGAAAAGCAAGAGAAATGTGTTTTTAATCAGTTCTGAAAGCAGGTCAAAGAGGAGGCCAGTCAAATATCTAAAGACCGCAAGAAATAATTCTGTGCAGCGTTTCCACATGTCCTGTAGGGGGAAGTCCTTTATTGGAAAGTCTGTTCAAGAACAATCCTCTTTTTCAGGAAATTCTTTCTTGAAGAGATGTTCAGTCCAAGTCCAATTTAGAGAACCATAAAAAAGAAAAGTAAACACCTTGACATTACTTACATTCAAGTCAGTACTTGAGCAGCAGACTGACAGTTGAAAAGTGACAATTTCAATACAGTGAAATGTATTGCATTTCTGCTTATTTTATGCTTGTTTTTCCTAAATTTGCTCTGATGTATATAAACAGCATACTATGTTTCATGCACAATCACCCTGATTACCCAGCCTGTGTATAAGACATACTGTAGATAGGGAAAAACACAGAGTCAAGTTTTTGTAAGACGATTCGCATTCGGTGAAAAGGGGGACCCAAAGGAAAGAAATGAGAGAAAGCAATGAAGACGGGTAAGAGGGAATAAGAAAAGTTTAAATAATACAAAGAATCTTTTTAGGTAATACAGCGGGGAGGGGTACACTTTGTATGCCTGGCTTGCCTCTGGTCTCAGGACTTGAATCAACAACTCAGGAAGGATAGTTTCCAGAAGAGGATTGAGCTTAAATTTGCTTCAGTTTGGCATCTTCTCAATCTCTGATCTATCACTCAGAATAACCTTTGAGTCCAGATTCTCGGTCTTTGCCTACTCTTGTATATGGCTCATGAGGCCCTATTCTTTTCTGACAGGCTGGGATGCCCAGGCTCACGCACCACTTCTCTTTCTAGGGGAGCACAAGAGTTCTGGCTGGCAGTCTTCTGTACTCTCCTGAAGGTGCCCTGCCTACTTTTTTCTCTGCCCTGGGCACTCTGCCTGCCCCTATGTCACTCCCTGTTATTTTTAGCTCTTCCCTCTTCTGATCAGAGTACTGTTGGGATTGCTTTTAGGCATGGAGTTGGAGGCGGTGCTGGGATTTTGGCAAGGGGGCCAAGAGTCTGTAACGTCCTGGGGCAATCTGATATCCCTAGGTCTAGGGAAAGTGTTTACAGGCAGAAACCTTGACGCTGGCACTGGAAGGCAGGGGTGTTCTCAGAAAGGGGACATAGAGAAGGACAGTTGGGGAGGGGGAATCTAAATTGTGGGTATAAACCCTTTGGAAATACCAAAGCAATTTTGAAAATAGTGTAGATGAGATGGCACTGTGATTGTCCATGGCTGAAGACTGGGTTTAAGAGAAAGGTTCATTCCAGGAAAAGAGAGGAGATGGCATGAACTAAGGAAATGATATAGCGAAAGAAGGAAGAGGAGAGAAGTAAGTCAGAAGCTAGACCAGATTTGTTTAAAGTAGGGAGTGAATGAGTGAAAATAGATGAAGGGGATTTAGAAGAGAGAGAAGATGTAAGCTGAGATACAGATAATAGTGTGAATAGACGGATAATAGCTAAACTGGCAATTCCTGGAGAAGGCCTCAGCATTTGGGTGAACTTCGAATCATGGCCTCCTACATCATCTCAGGATCTCTGTAGCTGCCAGTTCTACCATGGAGAAGCTATTGCCGCTGACAGCAGGGGAAAGTGAGCCTATTGTCCACTGTGGGGGGCATTCTCACAAGGACTGCTGTGAACGGGTGGTAATAAATGTTTCTGGCCTACGATTTGAGACCCAAGCAAAGACCTTGAGACAGTTCCCCGACACTTTACTGGGTGACCCTCGGCGGCGTGTGCAGTACTACGACCCACTGCGCAATGAATACTTCTTTGATCGCAATCGGCCTTGCTTTGACTCTATCTTGTATTATTACCAATCTGGAGGGCGGCTTCGAAGGCCAATCAATGTCCCTATTGATGTTTTCTTGGAGGAACTCAAATTCTATCAGCTGGGGGAAGAAGCTCTCACCAAATTTCGTGATGATGAAGGATTCATCAAGGAAGAAGAGCAGCCTATGCCTGAGAGAGAATTCCTCAAACAAGTGTGGCTACTCTTTGAACATCCAGAGAGCTCCCAGGCTGCCCGTATCATTGCGATAATTTCAGTTATGGTCATTCTTATCTCCATCGTGATTTTCTGCCTGGAGACTTTACCTGACTTTCGGGATGAGAGCGACATCTCTTTGCCAGTAAGTTATGAAGGCCATAATGATTATTTTTCTCTATACTGGTTGCATTGTTTTGCATGTTCTCCTTCCTCTGAATGGTGAATATTGACATTTCAGAAGGTACTTTGCTTCAAAACCCCCTTCCCCAATGAAGTGCCATCCAAATATCTTAGACAATAGCAGTTGTGTTGTCTAATGATGATGAAAGTTGTAGTCCAATAAATGTAGAATTCTAGCTTGGAGAAAATTACTCTGCTGTCAAATTATAATTTAAATGATTTCAGAAGTGCCCAAGTGTAATATTCTCTTACTGGTTCAGATAGACCTCCATTTCCATCACATAAATAGCAGTATTGTTGCCAGTATTTTGCCACTCAAGAATTAGAATTTGTTATCTCTGTTATCCCAAGGAATATTTTTTTTAAGAATGTCACATTCCAAATCTGACATTTGCAAACATCAGATATGAATTTTAAATTGTCACTTCTGTAATCCTTTAAAAAAAAGAAGTATAATAAGAATATGACAATTTCTTTAGTTTACGGGCCCCCATCTGAAAGCATCTCTTAATGCCATCTTGATTTCAAATCCTTTAATATCAATTCCCCAACCACACTGGACTTCACTTTTCATTGCAGGAACTTCATAGTTGAGTCTGCACATAATCACCAATGAATGAGTTGAAACAATCATGCCTCTGTTCCTTCAACACAACATGTCTGTATTAGTGTATCATAGGCCGTAAAGAATGTGGGGATCTCCAAATATTATGGTCTAGGATAATGTTATTCAAATGGTGATGTTTTTACCAACTGCTGTTCCATGTGGGTTTCAAAGCCTCCTATTGTGTGATGAGGATGGGGGGCGGGGGGAGGTTAGGCACTTGGCCTGAAAAATTGTTGAAGAAGTAATAATAATGATAACAACAACAACAACTCTCATCAAGGTAATATTCCCTCATAAATCAAACTCTTTCTTTCAATGCTAATTATTCTGTGCTTTGGTTCTTCCCCCACCTGCTGCCATTTTGTAATGGTTAGCCTCTGTGATTTTCAGCCCTCTCAAGTAGGCCCCATGAACAAAACCTTTGAGACCCCCTGTCCTAATGGGCTGATTGTTGTGTTAGTGACAATGACTCAGCAAGAAATGCAGTCCTAAAAATCTGTATACTGTCCTTGCAGAACCTTAGCATTCAAAAAGCTTTCAAGAAAAAAGAGAGAGATAGACAAATTTGCATGACTTTCGGTGTCAACTTCTAAACCAGCTTTCCCTAATGTAATACTCTCCAGATGTGTTCAGATTGCAGATCCCAGAATTCTCAGCCAGCTTGGGGTAATAATGATCCAATACATCTAGACTGCAGATAATGGGAAAGATCCAATAGTAACATATATAGAATTCATGCAGTTTTCTTGTCTGCAACAGTGTCAACATATATTGCATCTTTTATGTATTCCTGCTCATGTATCTGTCACTTTGAGATTGAGTGCTGTCAACTGAAAATAAGTTTTTGGTTGTATGCCTTCACCCACCATATGCCTTCTACAGCCCATGCCATGTCATATGTCTCCATCATCTGTAGAATGCTTTGATAACACTAAACACAATTGTGCCATTTGAATCTGCAAATTGAAAAAAATGGTACAGTGGGTAAAATTTAGGAAGCCGTGGGGATAGTGTTTCCCAGCCTAGAACCATCAAATGAGATTAGATGAAAATGTACTGGTCATTTCCTGTGAACATGGCTAATGATCAGGGGTGGGGTGGGGCTTTAGTCCAATGACATCTGAGGAATCACAATTGGGACAGGGTGCTGTAGGGATGTAGCACATAGAAGATATTGGACCCAATGGGCACCTGAGGTCTGATTTTGCCTCTGTCTTTCTGTCTGTCTATCACAAACATGTCCCAGAGACTTTATATATCATGGAGTTCCCAAGATGCCATCTATCAGTGTAGAAATAGTGCAACCTGCTTGTACCTGGGGCTTCAAGGTATGTTGAGCTACAACTCCTATCACCCCCCATGTTGCCTGGGAATAATGAGACTTGAAATCCAATATATATGGAGGACATCAAGATAGAAAAAAAGTGAGGTAAAAATACTTGAAAGGAAGTACTGATGGGAATGAAATAAATATATATTTCTTCTTCTTCACGTCAGTGCTTTCCCTAGTGGTTCATTCCCATTGCCCTTTGTCTGATTCTCAGCCAGAGGAAATCAGAGTTTTCCTCAGCTGGGAAGGGAAAGAATTTCAGGGGGGAAATTCAACAGATGGGGGAAAAGCCTAAGCTATCCTTTCACTTAATTTTTGGAAATGCTTCATCTTGGCTAGTGAAATTTGTAATTCTACCCTTTATAGGTTATAAAAGGAGAGCGCTCAAGAGGATTGGTCTCCAGACACTTCAGTTGTTAAGCTCCTTCATTTCTGACTCTCATACTTTTGGAAACAAGCAACTGGAACACTTAATAGAGGAAAAGTAGTTTGGCTAGGAAGAGTTGTAGCAGAAAATCAGTTGCAAAGTAGAATAATAAGCATCCACTCCTTCCATCTAACTCAGACTGTGCTGTTGTGTCTAGAGAGGGACTGGGGAGATACAAGTTTCTGCTTGACTATGGAGCTCATTGACCACTCAATATCTCTCAGCTCAACTTCTCACAAAGCTGTTGCAAGAATAAAAGGAAGGGATACCCCCACCCCACCTTTGCATATGTGTTGTCTTGAACTCTCTGAGGAAAGGCATGATGTTGTTGTTGTTGTTGTTTAGTCGTTAAGTCGTGTCCGACTCTTCGTGACCCCATGAACCATATTGCGCCAGGTCTTCCGGTCCTTCACTGCCTCCCTGAGTTGGCTCAGTTTCATGCTCATTGCTTCAGTGATGCTA